TGAAATTTGGATCCGATGAGTTGGCTGGGATGTGATCTTACCACACACGCCTATCACAGTCTCCTGGCACTGCTTCTAAGCTTTGCTTGACCTGTGCACTGATGCACTGTCTTGCTTGAAGATGGGCCTACGACCTCCCGGATGCCATTTTCTCCTAAAAAATGTGGTCATACTTGCGGTTCGAGTTATGCTAGAAAGCTGAAACTCCTACTAGATCTTCTTGGAGAAGCATTCTGCGTCCCAAGACTGTTTCTGGAGTATCAATCGCAACGTGATCAGTGTCTGGACGCATATTACCCCACATTACCGTGACCCTGGCCTTTCGCATAGGAATAAAGCGGGATGACATAAAAGCCTTTTCCGTCGCCCATATGGGACCGTTTTGGGGTTTGGACCGGTGTTTTATCTCGAGCACGGACTAGGTAGTCCAGATGACCACATTGATGTCATCGGCCCTCCAGTTTTTTTAGACTCAGGCATAACGAAACACATGTTTGGCCATTTTGAGACGTTTTTGACTGTTTTGAGCCCTCCGGTAAGTATGTAGAGCTTAAGTCACCTTGAGTTAGGTACCCCGAAATGATACTCTTAGACAGCTGGTAATGCATCCTGAAAAGCCTGTTTACCAACTTTCTAACGCTAAGACCTTTTTGACGGCCATTTTGGCGCCACACAGTTTTGGCCACATGGCTCACTCGTGAAAGCTGACAAAAAAGAGCATAAACTTGCAGCGATTGACTCCCGACAAATCATCGGCGTCACTTGTTGACTGTGCCTCCAGTTAGCGACAGACATTGGCTACATACTGGATGGCCTCAATCACCCTCAACCGTCGTGAATGGCCCAGTGCGGACTAAATACCGAGACGTTCCCGTATCGGAGACCTCTATGTTGCGGCGTAAGCCGTCTCCACAGGAAGTGAACTCTCTGGCAAAAAAATATTTTGTCTAGACGAATTAGTTACCGTGGAGCACATTCACAGTTGCCATGGCAACCCCAAAAGCTCAGTTACAAAATAAATTAAGCGTGGCTTTAAATAAGAGAGCCTCTAAAAGAAAAATTTAGGTGAGAAGGAACTTATGGGACACCCTGTAGGTGATGAGCCATTTTGAGCGGAGACGTTTTCTGCAACCACTCAGTAGCGATTTCTTTGTGATGTTCTGTCGCTCGTAGATGAACTGTGCGGTCTGCCACGCACGGCCTCCTAATATAGGCGCGCGATGACAGGCGGTGAAATGTCAGGCAGTGGACACCGGTCAGTAAAATTGTTGGACACTGGACAGTCACACTGTAAAATTGTCGCCTCACCATCACGCGCTGTACCCGCGCTTACACTTGTGCACTCCCAGCCAGCCATCCCAAATGGGGCCCACATGGGCTGGAAGTGGGGAATCTGGGCGAATGTGGGCTGGGCTACATCTGGGTATGTCATGGGCGTCCAACTGGGTCCCAGATGCGCTAAATGGGCTAACTTCACGTGCTGGACTTTGCCGGCGCCTCCATTGTGCCGCTACCCTGCCAGACTCCTGATCTGTCACCCGCCTGGGCAGTGGGCACACCCCTGCCCGCGTCCCTGCGAGGTCGCTGATACTGTGTCGCCGGCGTTCGTTGTGTGGTGGGGCGGCCGCGCTGGCAGTTGGTGACTATAAATAGACGCAATACGGCGCTGACGGACCGCTCGGGCCTTTACACTATCGTTACAAACTCTTCTCCTTTTTCGCAATAGGTACGCATCCACGCTTCCGTTCTCTCCGCCGGCCACCCACCTGCAGTGGTAGCGTAGTGTATAGTGGTTAGGGTCCCCGCATCATGTGCCATAGGTCTGGAGTTCCAATCTCTGGGGATCTGGTGAGAGGCAAAGGGTACGCGGTTCTCCCACGTGTGACCACATTGTTTTTTTTTTGGGGGGGGGGATTCATACGGAAAAAGTGGACGACATAAGCTAGGTACCAAATCCCAATTAAAATCCATGTGCGCTTTTTGCATGTGTCCGTGTGAATCCCAACTGGGAAAGCCCGTGTGGGACCCATATACATACATATATCCCAGCTGGGTCCCATATGCGCCCCACTTGGGCTGCCCATGCGGGTCCCAACTGGGAAAGCCCATATGGAGCTCAATACGGGCCCCAGATGGGTCCCACATGGGCCCCGTCTGGGGTGCCCAGATGGGGCCTAGTTGGACGCCCATGGCATTCCCATCTGGGTCCAAGGTGGGGAGCCCAGATGGGTCCCAGTTTGGTGCCCACTTAGAGCCCATGTGGGCCCCACCTGGGAAGGCTGGCTGGGCTGTTACTTGATGCGGAGCCGTCACAAATGTTTGTTCAATATTTTGTGCAGGGCTGTCAAATCGACGGCTTTTCAGTGACTCCGACGCCGACTCCGCAACCATAATTTGGCGAACGTTTAAAAAAATATTTTGTGGCTGTTTTGTGTGCCCTGTGCATGTGGATCTCAGAATGCGATAGGCAATGTCTCAGCAGATTGATTGATTATAATTTGACATAGGCGCTGGTAAAGCTGGCTAGTTCTGAATGGGCTGAATAGACTGATCTATGTTCTATGGTCTCCAGAGTTCTCCAAGTCACGTTACGCAACAGACGGATGTCAGCCGAACCGTCACGCTGTTATGTGGGACATTTTTTATGCAGCTGGTGGTGTGGGGCCCTGATTTAGGTTGTCACGAGCTGAAATGTACAGGAAACGCACCGTTCTTGTGACTTTCATTGTTAATAATAGCCGTTTCCACGACAGACTATCTGGCGAATGCACCTAATTTGACCAAATCTGCACCTTATCTCTGGAAACGGCTAATGTCTCATGACGTTGACTTGCATGGAACAAAGCTATGTAAGTACGGTTCAGCGACATCTAACTGACAATGACCTGTGCCACAGGTTTTTACGCTGAATTTGAATGTCGCACTGTGCCTCCATTGTAACATCGCATTTAGCTGTCAAAGATCAGCGGACTGCCTGTGTGACATTTTGACCATTGTCATTGACTGTACTTTTCTATCAAATGAAATACGAGTATGATTGCGCTGTGTATTGTCAGTCGTGGGTCCGCGTTCACGTCAGAGAAACCTACATCCGAAGATGTAACCAGCCTTATGTAGAACCGAAAAGTCAGTGACTGGCGTTGAATGTTTTCACTGCCATATCTTCTGATGTTTTTATTTATGTCAGCATAGGTTGATGGTTGGGAAGATTATGTGCATGATTCATAGGAATTATTTTATGCTTACCCTAAACTACGTTATGTTACATCAGCCCTTTCCTGACATTCATTCAATACCTGATACCTGAAGTCAAGGCTCAAGGTTTAAGCTGTACTGCAACTGGAGTTCTGCTGATAATAGTACCTTCTATCCGATCTCATTCGTCAGATGCACACTGAGAACGGCGATATAAGTCGGCGAGACGGGAAATCCTTCCACAGCACACGCGATAGCGCATGTCCGTTTGGTTTCAGTGTCCGTGTTCACTGAAAACCAAAACGATTCTCTATTCCCTTTGATCATGGTGTGTCATGCTCCTATAACTCTGCCGTTTTCCTGGCGGAATGCCCTTAAGACACTCAAATGATTCCTCAAATGATTCCTTTTAAGCATATCAGGGGTTTTGGTCTAAAACAACACCCTGATCATTTTCTTCGAACATACCCAAACTATACCCTCATTCTTTAAATTCCTCCCTTGAATTCTTCTAATATACCCTAGTGTACAGTCTCTGCCGCCACTGTCAGATACCGTACCTGTGCCGCTCGGCGCCTCCGGCGGTGACCGGTCGGCGGGCCGGGACTGGCCGGCCGGGCGGGCGAGGAGGACGGGCAGTCGCTCCCTGGACGTGTTGCTGACCACTAACCCGCGCCCCGCTGGGCTATTCAGCCATACGCGCCCTGCTGGGGATAGAACCTTAACCCTCGTTTTGGATGTGTTACGATATATAAAGGGAAATCGGACGAGGGAGCTGAGAGTAATGAGACAGTTTCTGAGCAAGTTCTACGACGAATATACCTAGGGCATTATTATTTTCCCTTCTGGGTTTATGTGGGGTCTAATGCAAGAATACATTGAGATCAGTGATGGAAATCACAGAATAATACGGGAGTGTTACGTGGTATAATGCGAGTATAGTTTGCAAAATATTCCCCTTATACGCTTAGAAGGAATACTAGAGGTTTCGATGTAAGGGTATTTTGGTAGGTTAAAAGGAGTGTACTGTGGGTATCGCAGGGAATAGAACAGGAATCATATTCCTTTCCTCTTCGGTACTTACTAGGGTATATTAGAAGAATTCAAGGGAGCTATTTAAAGAACAAGGGTATAGTTTGGGTATATTCGAAGAAATGATCAGGGTGTTGTTTTAGACCAAAACCCCTAATATGCTCAAAAGGAATCAAAAAGGTTCTCAGTGTACGGTATATTAGAAGAATTTCAGAGTGATATTCAAAGAAAGTGTATTTGGGGTATATTCGGAGAAATGATCAGGGTGTTGTTTTAGACCAATTCCCTTAATATGCTTAAAAGGAATCAAAACAGCTCTCAGTGTTGGTCGCTAGACGACAGGATTAGTCGCTTTATGAATCACCGTCGTCCCTATGATATTTTTCTGGCAACCGAGTGATACCGCCCTGTTGAATCTGTGTTTGAGAGTGTGGTAGGGTGCTGAGTCCCAAACCTTAACTTTCCGAGATCTTGTGTGAACGCCAACCCCCCCCCCCCTCCCCGAACGGGTGGCTGGGACCGCCGATAGCGCTACGGGACGCGGGTTAACCCGGCTGCTGGGTTGACAGTGTCGACCATGGCTGCCAGCCTCACAGGTGTTAACTATTAAACTTGTACCTGAATAAGCGTCGAGCCCGTGTGTCCTTACTGTGATACCCCCCCCCCCCCAAATAACAACATTCAGCTGGTCTTGGACTGCAACACACGTCTACTAGCTCAATGTGAAATGTCTGTATGTAAGCTAATGTCACATAGAACGAATAATATCAAGGTTTTGACGATGCGGAGATAGATTTGATCGCACATGGGTCCAAGCAAACGGTAGGGACACACAGACGTTACCAGTGTGTCCGAGTCAAGCGGTTTGGGCAGCAGTCTAGTTTACAATGGCGCTCTCACCGATAGGCGCAAATTCCCACTCTGCCAAAGTCATATTCACCCGGCTCCAGAGGAGGCAGCTTGCAGTACAAATACACGGCGCACAAACCATCAAGTCCCCAAAGTCCGCCACACTTCTCTCCCAGACCGTTCCTGCAGCTCTTGCAGCAGGCGCACGGCAAAGTCTGGCGTCCCTTGGGGAAACAAGCCAGTTTAGATGGCTCGCTGGGCTTGCACTCTGCAATGCGCTCTTTGGTGCACTCCAGACAGCTGAGAGCCGCGGAGAGAGACAGTGATGTGGCCACCAGGAGAAGAATGAAGAGCGGACGCGCCATCTTGGATGGACTAGTCTGCTTCCCTGTAGAGGTGACGGACGTCTTGGCGGGCCCAACGGTCAGGACGGACTCTGACCCCCCACCTCGCCCGCTCTCTCATATAGGCGCCGCCACACGTGCCGAAATGTCACATCACGCTACCCACGCGACCGCCAACTGTCACGGCGTCATTGTGACCCCTGCTGGCTGCCAGGGGGTTATGTAAGGGAGGAGGTCCCCGCGGCGAACGGTCCGCTTCACAAAGTCACTACCGAGGCTGGTCTCTGCCCCCTGGGTCTCGTTTTCACTTAGCGCAAGCCGAGGCCCAGCTGACGTGTTCCATCGCGGGTGAGACTTTACCAGAGTGCGCCAGCCCATCCACAGCATTGTGAAGAGAGTGGAGACGACTGTTTTCACGAGTTGTTCCCGTCGCGTGGCGGCCACCGTCACCACCATCACCAGCGCCATTGACAGCGCCTGGTTGTACCACATGTGTCTCTGCAGCCAGTCGATGCGCGATTGCGCCTCCTCTTTCACCCTGGCGATCTCAGCGTTGCACTCCTCCTGCCTCTCTCTGATGGTCTCCTGTCGAACTGCCTCCTGTCGAGCCACCTCCAGCCTCTCAGCGTTCAACGTGTCCTCGTCAATAGGACACGGTGTCTCTCGGGTTCCCATCCACAGCGTAATGGCTGCAAACGTGGCCAATACTAGCATCGAACCCAGTAAGAACACCAGCACATTTTTCTGTCGCATCTTGCCTTCCATTTCTCGCTTCATACGCTCAACGCATTCTTGCTTCTCATGAATAATTTTGTCAATTTCTTGACGGCACTCCTGTTTGGCCTGTTGTATTTCCAGTCTCGATGCTTCTCTCTCCCTCTGGAGTTGCGCTCCCGAGGCTTCACGTTCCTTCTGCAGTAGGGCACCTGAGGCCTCGCGCTCTTTAAGTGCCTGCGCGACCAGCTTCTCCTGTGCTTTAGCCGCTGCACCCGCCGGTTTGCGCTCAGTCCTGGCGTCGGCCGCCATCGGGCGAGTGTTTTGCTGTGAACTGCCCTGAGTCGATGTCGTGGATTCTTTGTCGCTCCGTGACCATGATTGGCAGATGCTTTTCGCAATCGGCACCAGCACAGTGATTAGTTGAACGGCCATATTCACCCTCTCGGATGGCTTTTGTAATTCCATCGCTTGCTCTTGTCTGCCCTCCTCAGGCATACATATCCCGGCCTGGAAACAAGGAGAACGTTATCAGTTTAAACTTTTCATTAATGGATAGGTAGACGTAAACATATGCAATATACATGCGTTTAGTTCAGCAATCGACAACTCCAACAATTTTTGTTGGACTGGACGGTCTCTTTGTGATGAGACTGAATTAGTTTAACCCACGAGCCGCTGGGGGTGGGCATAAAGTTGCCCCCCTTTACGTTTTGTGGAATATCTCCGAAACCTGATAAGCTACGAACGTGAAACTTGGCATAGCTTCAAATGAATACCTAGGCAATGTGTGAAGAAAGTTTGGTGGTCGTAGCTTTTAAGATGACGTCACAGTGACGTCATAAAGTTTTGTCGTTTTCTGATATGGACCGTTTCTGACGTCACGTCGCTGAGCATGAAACTCAACTGTAAATGAACCAGACAGCACCTGCTGTCATCCTAAAACATCCAAGTACACTTCCAACTAGTTACTGACCAATAATCGGTCCTTTATATTCGGTCTCATATATCGGATATATCGTGAGGAAACTGAGAGTCGCAAATCTATAATTTGACGTCTGACGTCACTGTGACGTCATTTCAAAGGGGATCGGCACCAAATTCAGATACAACTTCGGCTAAGTAATCAAGAAAATGTGTCCAAAGTTTCGCTTTTCTATCTCTTCGCGTTGCGACGACATCGTCGCAGAAGCAAGGGGGGGCAACTGTATGCCTCCCCCCCCCCAGCGGCCGGCGGGTGGCGCCGAGGCCCAGCGGCCGCCAGGTTAAAGGAAAACGATGTGCAGCGCAATATTTCTGCATTCTTATATTTTCAAAAGTCGCTAACAGGCTTAAGCCCAATTACAAGTGAATGAGGTTCTTCACAAGCATACATACATAAGCGTACCTATTTAAAATGTCGTCAAAACCTTGACCTGTAGCTGCTTTCGAACTTTCTTTCCAGAGCAAGTAAAAGTCAATCTCATAAACGATACCACAAGTTTGGTGGTAGCATCTCCAATCTCCACGGATGAAGAAAATACCGTAAAACAGGGAAGATAACGGAAATAGTACTCTGGGCTGTCAGCTCCGTCAAACAGTCGGTTAGCCAGTTCCAGAGTTAGCCCCTGAATGCTTACCTTCTTTACTCCCTCGTCACTCCTCGCCGGTCGCCGCTGCCGACCACCTCTCGGTCCCTGCCGGCGCCGTGTTGTAGGAGTTCCCTACAGCCGCGCACACCTGCTGCGCATGTGTCGGTGCGCCATTGCTTATGTATACTCGTATATCCGCGCACACACGCTGCGCATGTCGCATGTTACTAGATAGACCGTCTAGCGCATGCGCGTAGTTTTTGTATACCGTCAAACGTCCGTGTGTGATGTACATTAGTAAAATCTGAAATTTGTAAATACACACTTCTATTCATCGGCACCAAGGCTTTGGAGGAAAACAGAAGGCGAGGAAGCGAGGGCGACATGAGCCCTGGTGGCTGACGAGTGCTCGGAAAGGAACACGTTTCCCGATCACCACGATCGGAGGACTGTAAACTGGGACGACCGTCACTCAGTTTACACTGGTGACCCCGACGTGATCCGGGCTACTCGTGGACCACACCATGGAGTTGAGCGAAGCCACCCGGCAGCACACCGCTCCTCCCGCAACCAGCTTCAGCTCGCCGGCACCCGAACCCGAGGCAGCAGGTCGGCTCACAGCCCTGCTAGCCACCATCGCGACCCTCATCGTCCGAGTACAGCAAATGGAGGCCACCCAGCGTCGACTCAAAGGCGCAGCATCGCAACTTGGCCGAAGCCAGCATCAACGACGCCATGAAAACCGCCCTGTAAAGCCAGCGCATCCGTCAACCTACGAGATCTGCTGGTACCACCAGCGCTTCGGTGCCAGAGCGCGTCGCTGCAAAGCGCCGTGCAGTTTCTCCCACCGCAACAAAGGTCGACATCGCAGCCGTCAGACGCCTCTCCCGTCACGCCCTCCGACGCCGACGTACCCAGACAGCTCTGTCTGCTGGTACCACCAGCGTTTCGGTAACAAGGCCCGCCGCTGCGAATCTCCGTGCAGCCGGGCAAAAGCATCTGCCGCCGCAACACTTCTCTTCGTGCGGAACACGAAGACTGCCAAGCAGCACCAGATCGACGCTGACGCCTCACTCAGCGCATCTCCTCGCGGCAACCTACCGAAGCAACCAACGCCGACGCCAGCTCCACCCAACAAGCAGCCGGTAGCCGCCAGCGCGCTAACCAGCAACATCAACCACTGCGAGCCTGCGTCTCCGGAAGAGACGCCACACCAACCTGCGCAGCAGTCTCCTGCCTCTGCGACTGTGCCACCATCAGCTGCTCAGTCGGACAGCATGGAGCTGCTGCCGCAAGACACGCCGCCTGCAGAACGCCCATCTCCAAGGGCAGCAACACCGGAACCAGCTCCGCTGCGATCCATCCTGCGCTCACGCCCCGATCGCGAAGTACGGCCTCCAGACCGATCTCGACGCGTCACGTTCGCGACCCGTCTAGGGAGGGGGTAGTGTAGGAGTTCCCTACAGCCGCGCACACCTGCTGCGCATGTGTCGGTGCGCCATTGCTTATGTATACTCGTATATCCGCGCACACACGCTGCGCATGTCGCATGTTACTAGATAGACCGTCTAGCGCATGCGCGTAGTTTTTGTATACCGTCAAACGTCCGTGTGTGATGTACATTAGTAAAATCTGAAATTTGTAAATACACACTTCTATTCATCGGCACCAAGGCTTTGGAGGAAAACAGAAGGCGAGGAAGCGAGGGCGACATGAGCCCTGGTGGCTGACGAGTGCTCGGAAAGGAACACGTTTCCCGATCACCACGATCGGAGGACTGTAAACTGGGACGACCGTCACTCAGTTTACAGTGTGAACCGCGCTCTGACGGCGGAGACCGGCTCGTCCCCCGAGCGGGACTCCGAGGGAATGCCCCGGGGCGATAAGGTGACCGCCACCCCTCGTGACGTCAACAGCTGACGTGCCGGCTGCAGGCTGAGTCAATCTGGCAGCTCTTGCTAGTTTGTGGTGCTGGACGTTCCCGCACAGGACAGGGCTTTGTTTTGTTTACTTACAAAGACGCTCGTGTTTGGAAAATGGCAATCGTAGTTTGGTGCGTGGTTCTGCCTACCAAATTTGTGATGTGGATAGAGAATAGCAAGTCAAGCACCTTTGCGCCTTACCTCGCTAGCCTTGCGAATTATTTTAACTATGTCATAATTTCATAAGTCAAAATTGTTCGTATTAGCTTTTGTTTGGTCCTCGCGACATCGAATGACTGTATCCGCTCTTGTACGTACTTACGTGGCAGTGAAAACCAAGGGTGTCTGACCAGCGACCACTGACCGTTTGGCCGCCTGCCAAGATCGTCCTCATGGTGCAAGGGTGCATTTCATGGTGCACAGGTTTGCTGCGCAGATAGTAGGTACAGCGGTGCTTGTTCACCCACGGATGCTCAGAAGACATTGTGCCGATATCTTTAGCACATCACACAGCAGTGAGTGACTAACGCTTGAATGATATTTCTCGATTGTGTCCAAATGTTAGCTGGCTAATGGTAGGGTAGATTACACCCTGACCGCAATAGATAGAAAAGCCACCATCATATTCACTGAATTCACATTTTTACAGTGTACCTAGTGGAAATATGAAAATGGGTAGGTATGCCTATAGGTACCACTCTACAGCGCAATGACAGGTTCTTTTCTACGCATATTTCTGGAACTCCATCTGCAACCCCAAAACAAGCCTGATAACCTACCAAGCAGGGCTGCGGAGTCGATGGATTTTAGGGTGACTCTGACTCCGACTCCGACGCCGGCTTCGAAAATCGACTCCGACTCCGACTCCAACTCCGTCTCCGACTCCGGGTGATATTGATGTTAATAATGGAGATGTTTTTATCTTGCCTGAAACGATCCCTTGTGCGTTCCAAGGCTTTGCACTACGAATATGCATTATAACATGCAGAATTAAAAGGCAGGTTCTGGGGAATTCACCGTCTTCTGCTTCTTTCGCTGAAAACGTTCGTCCAAAACAGCAAAATGGCCTTTTTTCGACAAAATCTAATTTCGAGCGCAGTATCATCAAACAGGTGCAGTGCATGACATTGAGCCATGCAGCGTTAACTCCGACTCCGACTCCGCGGGCAGAACTGTCGACTCTGATCGACTCCGATTCCGACTCCGCAGCCCTGCTACCAAGAGCCGATGTAACCCCATTTCCCATCTGAAGCCCCGTCGGCGGATCCATGATGAGGTCTCGAGACAAATATTTATCGGTTAATGGTCTCAGCTCAGCGCGTGCGGACTTGGCTTGCTCGGGGTGGCGTGCTTCGAAGCTGACCTCACGGAACACCGCGGGGGCTCCCCGCACGGCCAGATTCGGAGGTGACGCGACCCGCTGACTCAGTGATCTGTTTCGGCCGGCACAAAGTCAATACAGGGGGATGAGGTGTTGACCACAGCTTGGTTTAGCTTATCGATAATGCAGCTTTTCTTGTACACTCGGGGGCAGATTGATGTTCCGCCACTCCCTGCCCTGCATCGGGTTCCCATGGCTCAGCACTGGCAGCAACCAGTGTTGCCTGCCCTCAGCACTGATCAGCACTGCCTGCCGTGCCAGTGCTGCCAGTGCTGCCACTGGCAGCAGCCAGTGCTGAGCCATGGGAGCCCGATGGGTAGGGAGTGGTGGAACATCAATCTGCCCCCGAGTGTACCAGGGACAAGAGCAACAAAGTCAGCTCACAAGGGCGAGAGGTGAACGAGTTTCTTTGTGTCCGGACCTGCAGGTCTAATAACCGGCACATAGCGAGGTAATCATGATTCCATAACGCGGCGGAAAGAGGGGGGAGGCATGCGGTATGCGATGGCATGTGCCTCTGACCTCTGCTTTTCTCAAAAGAACTCCGGAGCAATATATGAAATAATTTTGGGTACATGGTGATCATTTGAAACTGAAATAAAGACGTGATTATGGACATGTGTTAACATTCAGCATAGCAGAGTGACACATCATTGAAAAGGTAACTGTTGTATGTATGTATGTATGTATGTATGTATGTATGTATGTATGTATGTATGTATTTACGATCATGGGCGATCCACACATGGCGTGGCGATTACTGTTTACCTGTATAGTGTCACTCTCACTGTGATCTCTCATTGTCATGGATGCTGTTGCGTCTTACTGAGTGCTCTCAGACCAGCGCTGTGAGACTGAACCGCCGCTGCCACTGCAACTATCGCGCCGTGCTTTGTCTATGTCTTTTCTGTAGTCTTTTCCGTAGCACGCAAGCTATAAGTCATCTTACGCCAGATCAATCGTGCTGGGCTCCTCACATGCCCACATTTCTTTGCTCTGCTTACGACGTGCGTTCAGATAAGGTGTTTGTTTTTATTTAGGTACTCAGTCGACAGTCATCTTTCCAAGTTCGGTTGTTAGTCGCTGTACTGGCAATCAAACTCATGTCAAGCAAAGCCTATAAAACGATATAATTCTTAATTCTCCTGCTGATGGAGAAATTCCTTTTCTCTCCTTCGCATGCACAAATGACAATAGCCTCTGGAGCCTCTTCCCTATTGAGGATGTGAGAACAATGCTCCCCTGTCTGATCATCGGACAATTAACTTCCCATTGACAGTCGCGTCGTAGGCGCACTTCCTGAGAGACCCGGCGACTATTGTTCACCCTGGATGTGTCCCTCCCCTCCCACCGCGCCCTCCGCTCCTCCGCTCCCCCCCCCTCGACCGCTCTCCCGCCCAGAGCAGAGGAGGGAGAGACCACGCGCCTCCCGGCTCGGCGCGGCGCGACGGCCCTCGGATCGATCCCTGCTCTCCTGAGGCCGAGAGCGGCGCCCGGGGCAGTGTGCTGACCGGGCGACGGGACGGCGAGGTCCCCCCGGGGAAAGACAGGGCACCTGTAGAGTAGGGGGCAGGCGGCCAGAGCTGATAGACACCAGGTCGGAGGACATGATCAGGCGATGCGATGCGGCTAGGTTTTCAGGAGTGTTGGGTTAACCATGCTGTTGTTTTAAGTAGCGGAGAATTAATAAAATTACAGGCGAGGTGGTCAAGTATATATTTCGAAATTCAATGCAGGGTATCTATAAAATTGAACGTTTTTAATTATACAGAAAATTACATTCTATCATATAGCTGTCACACGAGCTTCTG